TTTTTACCTCTTGTCTAACTCGTGAGTATTCCAACATTTCTTTCTTTGTCTCCTCCTTTATTTCCTCAGCAAACTCCTTCCCTCTCTGCCTTTCCTCCTTCAGAGCCTCTTCCAACACAACCTGCGTTACAGATCAAAACAGAAACAAACAGAAACTGTGAAGACCGCAAAAGAAAGGCTAGTGGAAAAGCAACACCTGAAAAACCCCGTAAACAACCACAAATATTGATGTGGACTACAACTGATCATCAAAACAGGTCTAAAATTTCTTTCATTAGAAGCGTTGCCACACGAGAATTCATAAGATAAATGGAGTGAAAAAATTCTCCCGGCAGTCACGCTCAACACGCCCTTTTCGCAAGTTTGTCCGCACTTTCCGATGGTATGTACTTACCAACCTTCCCGCGTTTAAAGGGGTTGGTGTTGCGTCGGTGGGAGAGTATAGCAGGTAATTTAGTATTTACAACTGAGTTGAAAACGTAAATTGGCCACCGTAAAGAGTAAACAAGCTGACGTTTCGAACGTTAACCCTTCGTCAGAGCGATGACGAAGGGCTAACGCTTGAAAAGTCAGCTTGTTTACTCTTTACGATGGCCAATTTACATTTCAACTCGCGTTTAAAGTCTGTCTACTTTAATGATTCGTTCCTTTTTTTCTTACCTTACTGTGATTTGTCAATGTGATTTTCATGGCGCCCCTCTTGTTTAGAGGAGTGATGTCACACCTCGGATTATGAGTCTTGAAAATTTTAGCCAACGTTTTCAAGCGTGTCATTTACAATCCGTTTTAATCTCCTTAAACGTGTAAATTTTTTTTTTGATATGTGTTAAAAACTATTCTGATGTTACACAAATTTAAGATTTTGTTGAGCCGCTTTTTTTAGTTAAAAAATACCGCTCTTTTGGCTAAATTGTAGCGAGGACGCGCGGCCTCATTTGTGTTGTTTATCGTATCGTGTCTAGTCTCTTTCAAGACGAGAGCAATTTTGCATATTGTTAAAACTGTCTCAAGTTATAGTCAAGTTTCTTTCAAACTTAATTGCGAATCACTTAAATACTGCTATTTTGAATGGGACAAGAGGAGATAAAAGAATTATTTGAGCGACACACACTTTGCTAGCTTCTCTCTCTTCCTTCATAGCATCTTCCACAAGTCTCTGTAGCCGGTGTCCTTCTCGGTCTGTTATTGTCTTGATGGCTTCCTGTGGACAAGGAAAAAAAATCACATGGAGCCGGAAAGATTAAGAAACCTGCCAACAGCAGATCTGTATATATAGCCATCCGTCAGAAGAGCAATAAAATGCTCAGAGAATACGTGATGTATCTTTCTACATGCATATTCACCCAAGCCCAAGCGAAGAAGCATGTTTCTTAGAGTATTTTCATCACACACACAGTGTATATCATGTCAGCCAGACTCAACTCATAAACGGATCGCGTTGCAATATGGCGGTTGTACTGCTATATTTGGAGCTGGTTTGGCCAACGTGATCTATCTTATCACAACCAGATCAGCTTGGTCCGGTTACTCCTCTTTCATATGTTTGTTATTTCTTATCCCCATAAAAGAAAGGGGGGGGGGGGGGGGGGGGGACGTTCATGAGTCTCTCTAGGACTGTGGATGTTTATCTCTTATGTAAAGCCATACTAGTTTCTTTTTACTACTGTATTGGTTACCACATTAATAAAAAGATTTAGCGTAGAAATACAAGTCAAAAATTTCCAAGGTCAGGGATAACACTCAAGTGTGAATTCTTGCTGCATAAAAATGTGGCAAAAGTAACAGTAGTAGCAATAAAAAGGAACTTCTGCAACGAATTCATCACCTTTAGAAATTTCAGGTTTTAGGGCTGTTCAGTCTCAAGCTACCTTTCACATGCACGCACCTCATGTTCTGTAATGAATTCCTCATATTTTCTCCTCTCCTCTTTTCTTGCCGCTTCTACTGCTTCTGTGCACTGCTGATTGGCATCCTGATGGAGAAGAAATATCAGAGGCATACCTTCAAACTTCAAAGAAGAAAGAGCGCATATCGTCCGAGCATCAGAAAATCAAGATCAATGTAATTACAAAAGCCAATCACTGTGGAGTGAAATATCACAAATAACCGAAAGAAAATCGGAGTAAAATCTATCAAACTACCCAAAGCGCGGGAAAATGCGAGTGATCTAGTTGCAGATGGTTTTTTCCTTTCAATTTTATTGGCTAAGAGGGTGGTAAGAGTTTTCTTTACCAATCACTGAGCACAGCGTAGTAAAACTAACGCATTTTCTAGTTATCATGTCAAATAGAAAACTTACTTACCTCAATAGCTTTGTCTAAAGCCTCTTTGCTCTTTAATCGTTCTTTTTCAAGATGAGATTCAATCTCCTCCTACAGGCAACGAAAAAACTGTTAAAAAGCTCAACACTTCTACTTGTAAAAACTTTGTTAGGTTTTCTATTCTGCGCATAAACATTCTTACCTTGTGCCTTTGTTTTTCTTCATCCAACAAATCACTTGTTTTTTGTTCGTTCTGTTTCCTCTCCTCTTGTAAAGTTCTTTCAAAGCTCTCTTGCTACAAGGTGAAAGGTCAACTTCAATGTGAAAGTTTATGAGACTCGTGTGATTGGAAATTAGAAATATTTGGTGGAAAGAGAAAAGCACTGACTGTGGCAAGCTTTTAACACTTTTTAAAGCTACATAATGCAAACTAATGCAAAAACATCCATCTAACAACAGTTGAGGAAATGACTGTTAACAATTTGAGGATGTAAAGAAAATCAATATTGAAGAAAGAAAAAGGAAATTGATTTCTTTACCTGATCTTGAAGGAAGCCCTGAAACTTATTTTTTTGATCTTCCAGAAGCTTTTCTATTTCATTCTTGTTACATTCTTGTTGTTCCAAAACAGCTTTTCTGGATAATTCCTTGAGAGGGAAGGCATCAACTATTATTAAACACATCTAAAGGCAGGTGGAAAGGAAAAGTAGTGGAGGAGGAGGTACTGGCTGCAGAAGAAGGGAGAGATGAAGATTAAATGAGAAGAAAAAAAAGAGGATGAGAGGGAAAAAGGAGTAAAAAAGAATATAACTGACATAAATTCAGTTCCAGTGGCACTACCTTATATTCTTCCACAATTACTGCTAGGGTGTCATGGCCAGCTTTTCTAATCTCTTTTACTTGATTTTCATGTTGTTCCTGTAGAATTACAGAGAAAACAGCAATTTGTAATTTAATTTTTAAATCATATGGATTACACTTAACCCTTTAACTCCCATGAGTGACCAAGACAGAATTTCTCCTCACTATATCAATAAAATATCAACCAGATAAGTGAAGAGAATAAAGAAAAATAAAATATCAATTTGGGGATTATTAGTTGATCCAATACTAAATTCTCTGAACTAAAATTATAAGAATTGTATGGTTGACAATAAGGAGAATTACAATTTTTATCTGGGAGTTAAAGGTTTAATAGATCCTTCTCAAAATTTCTCTTACCTGAAGATGTTGGTATTTCTCTGTTTGTTTAGCAAGCATTTCCGTAAGATTCTGGGATTCTTCTTCAAGAGTTTTATCCTTTTCTAGAAGTGCATTTAGGTCCTATTGGCAAATATCAGTTCACAAGATAGTTTAGAAATAATCCACAACACATTTTAATTGCTCTGAATTTGTTCTCTGGTCAAGTTGTCAACACAGAAATAATAGGTACCAGGAGCGGATCTAGAAATTCCTTACAGGTGGAAGAGGGGGGGGAAAGTAGAAATTTTGATTCAGAATACACAGATTTATTTTAAGTTTAAATTCTTCACCTTAAGTAGTAACATTGGATCTTGTAATTGTGAGAATTTTGGTATCAGACAAGAAGAAAATAAACCCACAGATCTGTTGGGGAAGGGGATCTGGATCCCCAGACCCTCCCCCACAAACTGTCACTGTTAATATTCCCTTCCAAGACTACTCCCACTGGGCAACCATGATACATAAGACCAACTGTTCTCAGACTCAAGATCTTCACTATAACACAGTTGCAGTAGTAATTCACTTCCAATTAGGTGCCTAAGGCTGAAATATAGAATACATTCCACACATACAACAGTGCTGTTTGAATACCAAATTGAATGAAAATTGAAGGACAATGCCAGATACCTCTCGTAACTTTAATTTTTCTTTCTCAGCAATGGATAATTTTTCTTGAAGTCCATCCATCTTCTCCTCAAGTTCCTTGTTTATTTTATTTGCATCATGAAGCTGCTGAGTAAGTTCTTTGTGAGTACTGTCTGTTGGCTTTTCAAACATTGAACTTGGCTGTTGTTGTGCCATTACAACCTATGCATAAAAAGGAATTTATTTGTAAGTACATTGGGTTTTGATTTATATGGATTTTAATCAAAATTCTCCTTTTCACTGAAGGGTGGAGTTTCTAAGGAGATAAATATTTCATAGAGAGGGAAGGAGAAATGAAGATTTTATGGAAAAAAACTTAAGGCAAAAGTAAAAATTTCATTAAAATGGCATTTGGTTAAAACTCAAGCATGTTAGTTAAAAGTAGAGCCTTTTCTTTACATACCGATAGTATGTCTTGAGCTGATGAAACTTCTTTATCTAAAGTATTAAATGTATTAGGACTGTTTTCTTGTGTTTGTTGATTTACAGCTGTGATATATGATGGTATAAATTTTTCATCTGTCACTGCTGAATTTCCACCACTTGTATGACTGGCTTGTGTCTGAAGTTGTTGGCCTTGTTCTTTGTTAGATGGATCTGAAATTGTTTCCACTGGCTCTGTTAATGATTCAGCGAGAAAAGAAGAAAAATCTGCATGAAAGCTGTCATATTCTGTTTTGTAGTCTGGCTTGTTTTCTTCCTCTTTCAAAGATTTTCCTGATGATGCAGATGTTGCTGGAGATACATTTTGATTGTTTAAAAGAAACGAGTTAATAAAATCTGAATGGTCACTAACAGCTGGAGGGTTCTGGATTGAAGAAGTTGAACTTTTGTCAGTTTTACTTGAAGTGTTGAATGATGGTGCAATATTAGATGGCAATATCCCAGATGTGGTGGGTGATGATGATGGAGGGGCAACTGCAGCCCAAGTAATTAGAGATCCTGGTGCACTACTTCCATTTGCAGCTGGTGTCGCAGACTGAAAGAGAAGTCCTACACATGATTGCATGGTTTATGCACAGAAAAGTATCAAAATCTGAGATCCATATGAACAGGCAAAGGACGATAAAATAAAATACATCAGTCTGCAACAAGTAATGCATTGATCTTAAACAAAGAAATTAAATTGTTACCTAAATACCATAACACGCCAGAACAATTAACTAATTACAAATAACCATTCTTCCAACCTGAAATTACCACAAGAATTCAATTATTCTAGTCCTAAGCTCTTAAATCAAATCCAACAACAATACCCTAGTCGCACCCATTAAAACAGAAAAATGATTTAGGGATGAAATTAAAACTGCGCTAGGGTTGAAATATAGCTAGCTATCCGTTCACAAATTTGACATGTAACATCAATCTAGAAAACTTGCATGTACAGGGAAAAAAGTTCACCTCGAAACCTCCAAAGTCTGCCCAATCATCGTCATCACTCTGAAAAAGATGCACATATATAAACGTTACACTTACATGTTACAATTCATTCTCGATATTGTCCACGCATTTCGATTACGAGTTGAAAAGTTCTACACGAAGACCGCAAAAATCTTCCCTTACAGTACCTCTTCATTTCCCGCTGATGAACCAAAATCAGCCCATGTATTTCCATCCATCATAAGACTTTGTCTTCACCTCGCCATTAACCAGAAAATTTAAAAGATCAAACCAAATTCAACAGGAACTGAAATGTAGCAACACTTTTCGGCCAGGCGTTCCAAACTTCTCCCATGAGACATCAGTCTCGCGTGGTCATGTGATCGAATGTCTTTGGCGCCATTTTAAACGTGTTTAATGCACACTGTATTTTGATTTGCATTTTAAAAACTCTGTTTTATTATTGTAAATTTCAACGGAGAAGTTCTTATTTTACCAGATAGCCCTTAAAATCTCTAGTAATTGAATATTTTAATAGCTTTTTTTGTCTAAGAAGATCTAGGTTTTATAGATATTATTGAGAAGAAACCCGAAGTAACATCATGGCGCGAAAGCGAAGATTATCATCAGATGGCGAAGAAGAAGCAGAAGTCAATCAAGAAACGCAGGGGGAATCACCTCAACCCAAGAAAAAACGAGTTTCATCAGTTAGAAGTGTAGCACACGAGGGAAGTATGGAAGAAGATACTTTCAACTGCTCGCAAGCTCCAGATTTTCCAGTTTCGTCGGTAAGAATACATATATATTTTGAAATAGTGAACTAAACGAACGCAGAGTAAACTAACTCACATACTGGTCCCAGATTAGCAGATTATAGCGATTACACTAACATGCATCTTAAATAACACATTTATTAAAGGTGTGGTGGAAATCAGGGAAGTATTCGAAAACTATTGAGCCTGATTATCAGCACAGCGGTTAAAACTTTTAGCTGACATATATTTGTTCTAAAGGTATCAGTTTAACAAACAGATACCAAGTTGCCGTGCGTCTGTTCAGTAATAGATCACAGATGATGTTGTAATGTGTTAAGAACAAAAAAGTGGGACACGAGGCGCAGCCAAGTGTGTCACTGATGTTCTTACCACATTTTGACATCCTCTGTGATTTATTACTGAACAGACGCATGGCAACTTGGAATCTATTTGTTTTATATAATAAAGAATTAAAAAACTTTTAATGATGAGGTCATCTATACGTCTGTCCTCCAATAGATCATAAGTGAGAACCAATCAGAATGCGTGCATAACTGAGCTTATTATATAAACTCATATATTTAATTAGCTACTTTATTTCCTTGAAAATACTTCCACAAAGTGTCCTTTTCCATTTATTTTAATGGAAAAATTTAAAACTTACCAAGAGTCCTTCAAAAGAAGTGGAGTAATGCTCCAAGTGTTTCTCCTTATAGAAAAGGAGTGATAAAGAATTTTCAAACTTTCCAAGCAGAGTCATTCAAATCATTGCCTTTTTATTTTGAATTCCAGTTTTTTTTTGCAATGATAAGCACCTCATCAGGTGCTGATTAGGTTCTGTTAACATTCATTTTATAACTTTGCAGTCAGAGGCTGAAGTTGGAATTATCGAGAAGGTGACATTAGTGAATTTCATGTGCCATACCATGCTGGAAGTGCCTCTTGGACCAAATGTGAACTTTATCATTGGACGAAACGGAAGTAAGTGCTTTCGAAACAAGACCAATTGTTGATCACTCTTACTTTATAGTGAAAACCAAGTGTTGTAGTGGTGTGAATTTATTACAACCAGCCAGCGACTAGTTGACCTATTACAGTGTTCTCCCCCATTTAAGCATGACATGTAAAGGGAATTTTTAAATAATAGGGCAATCTTTCACCTGTTGAGTTTTTAAGAATTTAAAATGATTTTAGGCAATAATGAGAGGTACTACCATTCTTTTGTTGGTTTATTAGTTTCAAATAGAAGATTTGAGAACCAATTGGTTATCTTTCAAACAGTCCAGAAAGGAAGAAAAGGTTGGATTTTGATTTTTCCATGATCTATTTTCAAGGTGGTAAGAGTGCCATTATGACAGCATTAGTGGTAGGATTAGGTGGAAAGGCCACCACTACCAATAGAGGAAATTCTCTCAAGGGATTCATAAAAGATAAGTGCAGGTGAGAAATTTCTTTAATCTCAATACAAACAGAATAATCAGACTCACATGAGCAAAGCTTTACCTGGTTTCTGTGGAATTCCCACATGCCTTTGTCTGGTTGTTGCTAAGCTCTGGCTGCTAGCAAAATTCATCAGATGCAATGTTTGTGCCACCTCACTTGAAATTTTAGCCGGTAGCATTAAAATTCCTAGCTACAACCCTGCCTTTGGGGACTCTGGCATCCTTCAACAACCTCTGCTCTATCATTTTATGTGACAATGACCAAAGGTATATGAATCAGTCAAAGTCATGTTTATCAAATGATGAAGTACTTAGGAGTTGCCATAGAGGATAGTGGAGCCCAAAACTCCAACTGTGTGCAACAAGTAACCTTGAAAAACTTATGAGTTGCATCCAACCAGGCATCATCACACTGCTAGCTAGAGGAAGACTGTATTGTATGTTCTTACCCAATACTTGCCAAACTGGTGGGGAGGGGAGGGGATTGTTGTAGCAATTTCAACAGTTTTGTGACCTTAACAGCTTCTGCTAAGACATGGGGTTGACCTGGGAAGACACAGTAAATGTTACATGACAGGCCTGTCCAGCATGGTCTAAATTATTTTAAACCACATTAAGTTGTTTAGTCGTTGATTAATTTAATATTAAGTCATTTTCTTGTGTCTTAGTTATGCCCAAGTCTCAATCAAGCTACGAAACAGAGGACAGGATGCATACAAACCAAATGATTATGGAGAGTCTATAACAGTGGAAAGAAGAATCAGTAGTGACGGGAGTGGATCCTATAAGCTCAAATCGCATGACGGTACAGAAATAAATAATTATCAGGCACATTTTTGCTACCATAAACAGGGGCTCACAAATATCTTTGACATTTTTTTTGTTTCAGGTAAATTAATATCACAGAAAAAGGATGAACTTAATCACATTCTCGACCAATTCAACATTCAGGTAAACTGGAATTGGGACTTCACTTAGCCTTTTACTCCTAAGAGTGACTAGCATCTAATTTCTCATTACAATATTTCCCCTGAATGAAACATTAAGATCATGAGAATATAGGAAATGATCTCCAACACAAGCAGCTCTTGATTGTTAGGCAACTTCCCCAGTCAGAAGATGATTAATTTCAATTGTGTCTCAGGTTGATAACCCGGTATCAGTGTTGAATCAAGACACAAGTAGAAATTTTCTGAACTCTTCAGATCCTAAAGACAAATACAAGGTACGTGTTTTTGAACTTGTACAGGTAATTGTAGATTGATTTGATTTGAAAAAGAGATAGATTTCAGATAAGACATAAATTTGTAGCCCAGTATTCAACTATTTTTTTTTTCTTGTTTGTTAGTTTTTCCTGAAAGCCACCCAACTGGAGCAAATGAGTACAGATTATCAGCTGATTATTGAACAGCAAGATATCATAAAAAATACCCTGGACAGAAAACAAGAGGTATATACATACCGTATAGTTAACCTTACATGTAATTACCTTTGAAGATACAGTGCTTGGAAAGAAAAATCACATTATTTCAACTTATTGCAGACCCTTCCAGCTATGCAGCATCAAGTAAAAGAACTAGAAGATAAATACAAAGATATTGCACAATTGAAAAATATGAAGGAGCAGGTTGAAGATCTAAAGAAAGAGAGAGTCTGGGCAGAAGTTTTTGAAACTGAAAAGGTACACTGTTCGCAGAATTACAGGATTACAATGTCACAAAAATTTCAAGATCAGATCCCTATTGTATTAGTGAGTCATAACTGGTGCAACCCTTGGAAAGTTTGCTCTACGTAGCTATTTTATTCTTGTTAATTGTTAATTTTTTCTTTTTCATAGTCTTGTCCTTATATTGAACCAATTCCAACACTTCCAGGAGTGGTTTGAATGTAACTTTTCATATTTTCAATATTTTATCTAGTAGAGAAGTGTGGAGAATATACAAATCTATTATCTGTTGTCCCATCAACCTCTGACATCCCCCAAATTGGAACGTTCTTGTTTTGTGTGTTAGTGTGCATGTTGTAAGTACCACAGTGTTCCCAATGATGAGATCATCCTTGCGCACTCAGGACTAGCATTGTACACTTGTGCATTTGTTAGTGTGCCGACAACTAAGGGACCCACTTTGCTGCAGTGTTAGCAAGGTGGGCTGAGGGAACAATGACAGCAATGTGCTGCATTACAACAAGACTAGTGAAGACCTATGATTAAAATGTGCTCTCTTGTTGTACTCTAGCAACTTGGTCCCCTAGCAAGAGAAGAAGAAAGTCAGAAGGCAAGGTTGCCAAGATATGAAGAAAGAGTTACAACTTGCCAGGTATAATGCATGCAAATTGTTTCACATTGCCTCGATATGCAATTGATACTGGAAAATCCTCTTCTTGAATATTGAAGTTTTAATAACTTACGAATAAAGTCAATAGAGTGTTTTTTCTGCTGTTAAAATGAAAACCTTTTTTCCATAAATCAGTTGTTTCTTAGGACTTACAACCATGAGCAGGAAAGAGGTGTCTGTCTGGAACCTTTTATTTATGAATTAGCTGTTTGGACAATTTTATTTACATTATTACAATCTGAGATTTATGGATATTTCATTAAAGGAAGAAATAAGAAACTTGGAAGAACAGTGGGCTGAAGTTAATCAGCAGTTCAATGCCATCACTCAAGAGGCCAAACAGTTGAATGGAGAACAAGCTGCTATATGCAATGAACTTAAACAAAAGAAAAACCTTTACAGAGAAAAACAGGTGTGCTTCCATTGTTAATGCATTTTTTTATGGTATTACACCTTTATTTTGCCTTGTTTAGATTTAGGCTGTTACAACTATGTAGATAGATCAGCACTGAACATTCAGAAATTAGTAACCTAGAAAATGGCAAAAAAACAGTGACAAGATATTAAGAATTTTCTCAATTCTGGTAACCAAATCTCATATATGTTACCCAAAAATAGACAAATGCTGGCTTTCATATATATTCTGAAGGCTTGAATATGCATTTATTTCAGTCCAGAGTACGAAAGTTGAAGCAGGAGAAGAACACATCAGAAAATGATCAAAAGCAGTTGATGGAGAAAATTGAGGAAATCAGACAAACGTAAGTGCTTAGGGGGTTCCCACTTAAAGGCCTTAAAG